CGCGGGGGGGCGGATGGTTTTCAGCATGGGTTCAGCTGCCCATCCCCATGAAATACCCTCTGGCTGGTGGCCAGCAGCACGTCCAACCCGCTGGTGGAAGCAGCATGAGGGCAATGGGGCACGATGCCCAGGTCCTTCCCAGAGCGACCTGCGCAGCAGGAGCTGCTCTCACCTTGTCTCCATCCTCACCAGGGGGGCCGACGGGCCCTGCTGGACCGGGCAGTCCCACCGGGCCCTGGATGCCATCCCGGCCAGCCGGCCCTTGGGGACCCTTCTCTCCCTGGAAGCAGAACAAGCAGCAGGTCACACAGAGCTCTCCCTCCACCCTCCAACCAACCCATTCCATCCCATTAATGCTTCATTCAGCTGCTGGAGACCCCTGTCTGCATGGACATATACAGCAGAACTGGCTTCCCGCTGATATTTCATCAGACTCTCTGCCTGCTGTCTGCAACAAGACAAAATGTCCATCTTGAGAGACAAAGAACAAACAAGTCTAAATGGTGGATACCCAAATCAGAGCTCCAATTTCACTGCTAGAGCAATATAAGCAGATTTAATCTCAAGCCTCTGCCATCTCTCTGGATGACAAACAAGACCCCAAGTAATTTATATTCCCACAAGCCAGTCTGCACTGATTCTGGCCCCAGCACTCTCTGCCTGCTCCCTCCCTGCCTGCACCCCAGCTAATGAGGGTTTCTCAGGAGGCCCCAAGCTCCCTCCTGAGCTCTGGACAAAGGAGAACACCTGAAGTGAACAAAGCAATCTCTGCTGGCCATCTGCTTACACATCTACTTGCGTTCCTCAGACCTGGAGCCTTCAACCACATTTGTTTGTTTATAGGAACTGAACAGTGAATATTTTTTGGTTTCCTCATACATAATCTAATTGCATCTGAATTCTGGGTGCTCTCTTCTGAATAATTAGATGCCACAGAAATTGCCCATTCATCTCTGCACTGATACATCACATAGGTACTTGGCAGGACAGATGTTCATAAAGCTGATTCACCAGGAAATTCTCGCCTCTGGACTAGCTGCAGGGGTTTATAATAAGCAAATATGGGATACAGTGGCTGACAAACACTTTTGATAACAACAATCACTATAAGTGTCCTCATGTAGTCTGAAACACCTGATGCCAGCACTGCCTCATTTTGCTGGCTCTGAAAGCTGAGCTCACGTTTGAGGCAGGCACCACAGATCCCCTGGGGTGCGAGCAGGAGGCCCAGCCTCCCTCCTGGGGACCGGTGCTGTGCTCTCCAGGGACAGAACACTCATCCCAGCCCACTCCCTCCTGCCACACGTGGCATTTCACGCGCGTGCCTGGGAGCGAAAGACGTGCGAGTTTGCGCGGGCTGATGGTGAACGCTCCGGAGAGGGACCATATGGCAGGACTCAGCCACGCTCTGTGAGAGAGGCTCTTTCCACAGGCGGGATGCCTGGGAATACCGATGCTGCAGCAGCACGCAGCATCCCGGGAAATGGAGCCGAAACCTCCACAGCACCTTCCTGTGCTGCCCCTCGGCTGGAACAGAGCGAGGGTCAGGATGGCTTCGGGTTCAGTGGGAACTGCTGCTGTTCCCACTGAACGTCCTTGGAAGCAGTGGTGGGGCTGGCTCACTGCTCTGCCCGGAGGCAGGTCCTTGGGCTGTTTGTCACTAGGAAGTCACAGAGGTTGTTACTTCACCTCACCCCTTCTCATTGCCTGAAGACATTCCTGTCCCTGGGATCACATCCAGTTTTGATAGCATGGCTGTCACAAGAAGGGCCGTTGAGCAGCTGACATCCAGTGGTTTGATGCACCCAAGATGAGAAAATTCCCTTCTAACTGAATTCTTTCTTTTTTTGTACACCACCCCCAAGGACTCTCCATGCTCAGCTTCCTACTGTACACATTTCTACTTGACCCACAGCTGTTCATCTTTATACTGGTACTTACTGGAGCCCCCTTTTCACCCGCGGGTCCTGGAGGTCCCTGGGGACCAGGTCGCCCTGGTAAGCCAATCGGGCCAGCTGATCCTGCGGGACCACGCTCACCAGGAGAACCCTGTTCAGAGAAGGAAGGAAGGAAGCAAGCATTAACTGGAGTATCAAGCTTCATCTATATACAGACAGAAAGAAATCCAGCAGTAGGATGCTACAAACACGTGGTCAGGAAGTGAGCACATTTGATGAGGTGGCTTCCATGTGATGATGTGGTACCACCAGCCTAAGGGATCTTGCAGATCTGTTATTAACTAAAACCCTTGGAAGGGCTGGGTTCTCTCCTGGATGATGCTGGGAGCTCGGTTCCTGGGGGCTTATTATCACCTTGGAACAGGATCATGAGCAACTTCACTGCCAGTGCAGCAGGGAGGGTTGGATGATGAATATATTCTTGCAGGAGGCCTGCACTGAGCATGAGTCTCCAGTGGGGACCAACCTTCAGACATGTCTTAGAAGCAAAATTCTGCATGTCCTGAATCACTGCAGTTCCCTCAGCTTGTCACGTATGTTCATAACTGATGCCATGGGATGACTGAGCTATTACATGCGTGTCTTGTAAAATAAAGCAATATCCAGCAAGTTGTTGGTTAGCGCAAGGGAAATAATGGCTAAAGCTCCGAGCTGTGACTAACCCTCTGTTTTGGCTTGCCAAGCTTGTAAATGTGTTAGGTGGTGCCTGTAAGGGCAAGGATACTCACTGCTGGACCTGGGGGGCCTGGAGGACCTTCATTGCCTTTCAGCCCTGGAGCACCCTGGAGGGAGGAAAACAAAGTCACTTCGTGGTGGGTGCTGCACCCATGAGCACCCTTCCCACTGGAAGGACCGAGCAGCCTCTACTCACAATGGGGCCAGGGAGACCTCTCTCCCCAGGGAAGCCTCGCAAGCCGGGGGGACCATCCTTCCCTGGGAGGCCGGCAGGACCAGGGTCCCCCTGCAATGACAGTGATAAAACAGCTGAGGACCTGCAGGATCCAGAGAGACCCAGTTCCTCTCTCTGGGCTCAGGTTGTGATGAGACACTGTGAAGCAGCATCATAATTTCTGAATCATCCCTCCCCATCCCTGGGAGAGGGGCAGGCATCCAGCTTGCAAGGAGGGGGAATTCCATAGGCTGCTCAATCCCTACCTTGGTCCCTTCTTTTCCAGTGAGGCCAGGAAGACCTTGTTCACCTGGGGGACCTGGAGGACCTGGATGTCCCCGCTCACCCATTGGTCCAGTCTCACCAGTTGGACCCTGAAGAAACAGATTGGGGAAAAGATGGTTGGTTTCAGCAGCACAATGCACGAAGGAAGAGATGTAGGCTATCGGTTCAGTTCTTTAGGTTGCAGTGGGATGGAGGATGCTCCTTCCCTTAGCTCACCCCTGCATTACCACCAGAAACCCCTGGAGAGATGCCTCCTTTGGCATCTAAAAGGACCTTGCTTTAGAATGAGCAACAATTGCACCAGACAGACTAGCAGCACTGGGAACCTCTGGAATTAACGTGTTCACATAAACGAGATTATTACTACAACTGTTATGCTTAGGTTTTGGGGTTTTATAAATGAGAACTTCCCAAGCTCTCCACAATTGTGCTGATTCCTCCTTATAAGGGGCATAAATAATGGATTAGGCTTGTACTACACAGCAATTACCGACTGCCTCTGTGCTACACACGGGTGCTAATGGTGACAAGCGTAACATAAGGACCAGTGCCCGAGGTCCCCAAGTGGCCTGTTTTGGAGGAGAACAAAAGCCACATGTACAGCTCTGTAATGTCCCCACACATCGGTATGTGCTGGGACAGGGGTTGTAATTCCTGTCACGCTGCAGGGTGCCACTTAGTGTAAGCAGAGTGATAACATTGCTATCGCTCAGCAACCACAGATCACACTAACTGCGTGCATCAGAGCCAAATAAAATTGCCATAGAACCTAATTTGCACTTGAGAAGACAGACACAGTCAACAGGGAATTGCCCCTAATCAGGGAATTTACAAATCAGGGACTTTACACTGTCATTAAAGAGGACAAATTAATTACTTTCTCATTAAAGAGCAACTTCCCCAGTAGCTCAGGAAAGACTCAGCCCAAAGCCAGTCCTATGCAGCCTAGGCCTCTGCCTACAGAACTCATCCAAGAGCCCTGCATGCCTGTGCTTAAGGGGTACGGATCCTGGTTACTGATTCCAGACTGCACAGAGACCTTTGTGACTACCGGAAAAGCAGCCCCACTCTGACAGAATCTGGCAGCTCTTTGTATTAGAGAGATGCATTTCTTCATAGCGACATGTAAGAGCCCTCTTGCATCATGCTTGCACTGCCCAGCAGCTGTCCAGCCCTTAGAGATCTCATTTCACTCTCTGACTGCTTAAGGTCTTTCAGGCTGGTTGCGTGTAGCCGGTCTCTCTCTCACCCTACACCAATGTTGTACCAGGGAAGCTCTGTTAAGTTCACAGGAACCACCTTATTTTCAAGCATGTTTGTCTAAATATCATCTTAATGCCTCAAAACAAGGTGGGCTGGGACCCACTGGGGTATTTCACACCTTGGCCGGGAATTCCAAAGCCATCCAGTTTGCTTTGATGTGACTTTGCCTTCCCTATGAAGGAAGGTCTCTGGACTGTGTTACCTGTGGTCCTGGCAGCTCCAGCTGAACCATCAGAGCTGCAA